AGGGAAAAACAGGATTCTCTTTAGCTATATGATTTATGTATAAGTAAGAACAAAATAAAAAATTTGAGGAAATTTAAAAATAAAAGCATTAAATTTTTCAGAAGAGGACATGGAGGTATTTAAGAACTGACTTTATAATCATCAAAAAAAGAAAAAAATGTCATTTTGACTTAGTGATGAATTACTTAAAATTATTTTCAAATAAGAACAAAATATTATTTATATTCTTTGTAATTCAAAGATAGTATCTCTAAAACTTAGTTTCAAACTTCAGATAAAGTCTCAAATATCTCTCACTATAAAAAAAATTTCTTACAGAAATTGTCCTAATAGTTGGCCAAAAATCTGACACTTGTAGGAAGAGTAATTATTTAATGATTAAAACAAATAATTAACAGATTAAAATCTCAACATACAAACTCCTAAAAAAGAATTAAATCCAAGTGACTACAAAAATCGATTGATCAACTGAGGGCAAGAAAAGCAGCTTGAACTGTTTTTAAGATGCCTCTCTAAATAATTTACCAATGAAAAATGTATTTTGATACTACAATGTATTTTATTTTTATTTATTATTTTTGCTATAGGGTGCATGTGCTCGCCGGACAGATAGAGAGAGACAGAGACAGGAAGAGAGAAATCATCCCCAGGGGGGATGGCTACGCCGCAATCCCTTCTCTTCTGTTCTCCTCTCAGAATCCTGGGCACGCACACACACGTGCCCAGCATGAGTTTTAAGCCATCGGGTCCGGGACGCGAACCACAGTCGACTACATGGGAGTCCAATAACATAGCCATTATGCTAACTGCTGGTCCCTACAATATATTTTAAAGAAAAACATATTAAACATTATATTGGAAAAATATCACTCCAAAATTTAAAAAGAAATTATATTGCTCTTTGGAACAGAAACCAAATATCAAACTGGAGTTCTTTATTATTTGTCAAAGAAAATTTATTAACTGATAAGCTCCATTTTTAGCTGCATTTTTTTCTGGTTATAATTTTTATAATAAAAATACTGTATAAGCCACCAACCTTGATTTCAATATTATTGGGAAAAGTAATGATAATTCCAGCCTACAAAAACAGTTTTGTTTTTTTTAATTAATAGATTAATAAAAAATACTGTTTCAATTATTTCCAAAATATTTTTGCACGCTTAACCTTTGTCATATTTAGAATAACAAGAGGCTCAGGAGTTTTTGTATAAGACTATCATAATAGATTTTGTGAAACAAAGTCTTTGTTTTTAACAATTTTTTATTTAATTTTATTGATTACTATTATTATTATTATTTTTAATTTGCTATAGGGCACATGCACTCACCAGAGAAAGACTGAGAGAGTTAGAGAAAGGAAAAGTAAGAAAGCAAGCCACCAGTTCTGGGACTACGAATCATGGTGGTCCCTGGGAATGTCCAGAGCTGTACCCACCACACCACCCGCTGGTCCTGAAACAAAAAGTCTTTGAACATATGTATAGGAGAGATCCTCCATAACTGGCTAGTGTGGTGTGGTTTAAATATCTATACTGGGAAAATCACAGAAGTTAAATGAGCCAATATTTAAAACTCTAAAATAAGTGACCCATGGGACCAGCAGTTGGCATAATGGCTATGTTGCTGGACTCCCATATAGCCAACTGCGGTTCAAGTCCTGGGCCCGGTGGCTTAAACTCACACCAGGCATGTATATGTGGTGTGCCCTAAGATCCTGAGAAGAGAATGGAGGAGAAGGGATTGTGGTGTGGCCATCCCCCCAGGGGGGTGATTTCTCACTTTCTGTCTCTGTCTCTGTCTTTTTGTTGAGTGCACGTGCCCTATAGCAAAAACCTCTCAAAAAATATATAAATAAAATAAGTGAACCAATGTTTACTATTCTAAAGCAAAAATGTCTGAATTACAGCGGTTGCCTGTGAATCAAAGGAACTTGTTTGTTCTGTTTTTGTTTGTTTGTTTATTTGTTTTTCTGAGAGAGATTTTTGCTGTAGGACACGTGTGCTCACTGGAGAGATAGACAGAAGAGACAAGATAGAAAGCAAGAAATCACCCCCCCGGGATAGGGGTGGGGGATGACCATGCTGCAATCCCTTCTCCTCCATTTTCTTTTCAGGATCTTAAGCACGCACACATACACACACATCTGGCATGAATTTAAGTCACCGGGTTCGGGACTTGAGCCACGGTGGACTACACGGCAGTCCAACAACATAACCAGCCATCTGCTGGAATGGAATTTGTTTTTAAGCAAGTGAAAATGATTATTCCAGGAATTTGTAGTTAAGCAAGTGAAAATGATTACTGTAAGAAAAAAAAATCATATTTGAATATTTTAAACATTCCCTTAAATTTTTCCCATTATTTCCTACCAGGCTAAGGTCTATAGTAAATCAGACTCTCGTATAATTATATTCCAATATTATACCTTGATATTTCCTATATCTTGCATTTTGCCTTTAAATGCATGTTGTACAGAGATTTGTATCTGTGTCAACCACATGGACAAATAATGTAGCAGTTGTGTGTTGTGCATCTTTGGGTCCCTAAGGGCTCAGCATAGAACCCAAATCTGAAAAATGAAGACATAGTTCTGATCTATTAATAGTATATCCTTTTAATTCTTTTAAAATGGTTTTAGTATATTGAAATCCAAAAAGTAGAGACCTTAGGTTAGTTAGTTACATAGTGATAAAACATTTATAAGCAGACATGAATAAAATAATGTTTTCACCTCTGTGCATTTTACCTTGACTGGACATATTTTCATTTTAAAATAAAGTATTTTAGAAAACTTGAGGCCTCAATATCCTGCTGCAACTACCTAATTCTATATAGTGAGAGTTCAGAACACACCATCCCAAAATATGTCCCTTTGGCATAAGAATTATTTTTATCTAAAGGCACCTTAAAAATTGCAGCTGTAGGAAGCTTTCTTTGACCTTCATTGTACATCTTAAAGGCAAGAGATGAGATCCCCATGTAAGAAATACTCTACCTGTATCAGAATCAAAGCATCACTACTATATTCTTGTTATCATTACTTTATTCTTATCATTGAAAGTTGAGATTGAAGGAAGTCTTTACAAACAATCTTAATATTCCTGGTCATTCTACACAATTCACTACCCTAGTTGAAATCGCTCTGCTTTATCATATTTTCACAATTGACTACACTTTGTCCAATTCAGGATTGAAAAATTTGGTTCTAATTGCTTCTTTGGATCTTCATTTTCTTGGGATGGATCCAAAATTATTTAAAATGTATATTAAATAAATTTTTATGCCTTTCTCTTGTTAGTCTGTCTTATGTCCATTTAATTCCCAGGAGCAGCCAAAATACCCTAGGAGGAGAGAGAGAATTTTGTCTGGTCTACTTTATGTAGAGAAACTGAGATTTTATGGAAGAAAAATGACTTGAGATGACATGAACTAATTAAATTAACGCCGAAGGCAGGGCTATTAGAAATGAGTGACATATAATGTGGGAAATAAAACCACCCCGGAAGGAAGGAAAGTTTTATCACAGAAATTGTTTAAAATTTCTAGTTTGAGGCGATAATACAGAGCAGAATAACTTTTAGTTTTATTATGATTTAAACTTCTCTGCATATAACATGACCTCTTATTGCCTGAATGTTGGACAGAGTCTTCCACTATCACCCTTTTCTTCATATATAACTGCAAAAATCCTAATTTTATTCTTTTCTAGTAAAATCAAGAACACTGATGATTTCTTTTTCTTTTCTTTTTTTTTGAGAGAGATTGATATAGTTTTGCTATAGGGCACGTGGGCTTGCCAGAGAGACAGACAGAGACAGAGAGACAGAAAGCAAGAAATTACTACCCCTTGGGGGGTCGAGGGGATGGCTATACCACAGTCCCTTCTCCTCTATTCTACTCTTAAGATTTAGGGCACACCCACACATTTGCCTCACGTGATTTTAAACTGCCAGGTCTGGGACTCAAACCAGATTTGATTACGTGGGAGTTAAGCGACATAACCATCCACACCATCTGCTGATCCCAACATTAATCATTTTTCATGTCTAACATTTTTCTAGGCGTTGACATTAATGGTCTGTATTATACATCAGATAACTTCAAACATACTTTCGAAATACAAGAGTAACGATAAAACGTAAGATTTGTAAAACTCAAAAATTTCACAAGAAAAAAATAATAACTGAGAGCACTCACAAGACTCCAGGGTGTTTCACTGACATAAAACTTTAAAAAGATGAAGAACATTTTTCATTGGGAGAAAGAACACATACACGAACTTCAGAGATCCCCGAGACACCCGGCTAAGTCTGCTCTCAGTTGTGGAGGATTATTGTCCTTCGGCTTTGAGTTGAGAACCACCACTATGTGTTCAAGACATCTTGTTCTGAAGAAAATAAAGTCATATGCCTGCTTAGGAGGCTTTTTACTCACCTTTTCTCCACACACAGCTAAACCCACTTTTGTGTAATGTAAAACCAGGTGTAAATTATCAATCCTTAAACTTTTGAATTTTTATTTATTTCATCATCTCTTTATATTTGTTTTTCATCTTTGTGTAGTACAGCATGGTTTTTCAAAACATGTATGCAGTGTATGACAATCAAATCAATGGTATTAACATATTGTCATCTTCAACTAAGAACATTTTCATTCTACTAGTTTTTAATTTTTTTGATATATATGTATATTTGATGTATATGCATTTGATATATACATATTTTTTGGTATATATAGGTAGTGTGTGTGTGTGTATGTGTGTGTGTGTGTGTGTGTGTGCATGTGTATAAGTAGGTAATGCTTTTATTTTTACTTTATTGTGGTATGTTGTTCTGGTCTATAACCTCTTTGCCTTATTTACATGCATTATTGTGTGTGTTAATCACTTTTTCCTTAGCCCTGGCTCCCAATCTCTTAAAATAACATTCTTTCTAATTGTCATACAGACCCACAGGTCTCATTTCTTTGTTAGTCTCTTCTCATTAAAGATCATTTGGTTGCTTACTTTGGCAGCACATACACTAAAACTGGAGTGACACGGAGAAGATTAGCATGGTTGTTTTACAAAGATACACAAATATTCATGAAATGTTCTATAATTTTATGGAATCTTAAAAGAAAAACCAGACTGCCTGGAAGTAGAGAGTAGACAGAGGTAACTGAAGAGGAGGAGGGGAGAGTCTGGTCAAGGGATATGTGTTATAATTAAATAGCCCTGATAGGTTTCTTGTTCTATCTCCTACTAGTCATAGTTAACAATAATGTATTGTGTATTTCCAAATAACTAGAAGACAGGTTATTGAATGTTCTTACTGTAAAGAAATGGTAAAATAATGAGGTGATGATTATGCTAGTTACCTGATTTGATCATCATTCGATGTACACATATATGGAAAAATCAAATTGTACCCCATAGGGGCCAGCAGGTAGCATGGTGGTTAAGGTGCTAGACTCTTACAGGGCCAACCGGTTCAGATCCCATACTAGGAGTCTTATTTTCTCACTTTCTCACTTTCTGTCTCTTTCTGGTGAGTGCACATACCCATAGTAAATTAAATTATAATCATAATAATAAATAAAATTAAATAAACAATTTTCAAAAAATTGTAGACTCCAAATACATACAATTTTAATGTGTCATTTTAAAGTATTTTTCTCATGACTTCCAGACTTGTGCCAGTTTTATCCAACACCCGTTCAGAGTGTTTTAGGTCATTTTGTCTTATCTACCAAATAGTCATATCTCATTGTCCCTGAGTTCTTTCATTAACTAAAGTGTAAATGTATATCTTTTCTACAAACTGATTGCCCTCCCCAACAAAGAAGCCATCTCAAATATTATTTTCTGGTACTATTCTGAACAATTTCCCATAGGTACATCATGAGTATATTGGGGTCATTGTGACCTCCGAGGCATCCCTAACTAACACTGATTTTAGTTCCCTATCATTGTCAAAAACAAATTGTTTTTAGCACAGATGATAATACAATAATTTGGGCACAAGATAATATTTTAAGTCCATTGTACCTAGGCACTTATCTCATTATAGGATTACTTAGATCCATGGCTCTGGGTTTAAACAAAATATTTTGTAGACATTTGAGAGTTAACAGTTTTACTATGTTATCTCCAAAAAAGAAGTCTGATGTGATGGACATAGCCTTTTGAGTGGGAAAAAAGAAAAGACAGAGATCATTTGGACATCCTGAATTGTGTCTTCCAAAATTCATACATTGAAGTCTTACCCACTGTACCTCAGAATTTGGCTGTACTGAGAAACAGTATCTTTAAAGAGATTATTAACATTGAATGAGTCAGGTAAGGTGGTTCTTAAGCTGAAATAACCGGTGTCCTCACAAGAAGCCAATGCTGTGAGGACACAAAAGTATGCACAGGGAAGAAAGACCATGAGAGGACACTGAGATGCAAGGAGAGAGGCTTCAGAAGATAACACATAAAAGTATTAAAAGTTGTAATCGACATTAGAGACAAAGTAGAAAGAGAGTGTGGGAGGGGAAGAGTGTAGGAAAGGAAACTGGTGGGGTAAAATGGAGAGGTAAGACACTTGTGGGACAGAGAGAAGATTTAGTGTCTGTTGATGAGGATGTGTATAATAGTCTCAGCTGGGCTGGACTGAGGTGTAAATCATGCTGGGTAAAGTCTCTTCACAATCTAAATGATGTGTAGGGATTTAATACATGAATAATAAAAATAAATAAGTTAAATTAAATTAAATTAAATTATTTAAAAAAGAAAGAAATCAGTCATGCCAACCCCTTGATCTTGGACTGCAGTTTCCAAAACTGCTAGAAAATAAATTTGGATTCAATCACCTCGACAGTGGTAATTTGTTATGGTGGCCCTAGCAAACTAATATATTTACCTATGCAATCTTATTAAAATAGCTTAGATCCATCAGCACTTAGATTATTCTAGTACTTACACCTGCTAAAAACAGCAGGCCCCATACTGGATTTAAAGCTTCAAAGTAAGGAAGAAGTTCTGAAAGGAAATGTCTCCACCTTTAAAGGCATCTGTGAATAGTGATAGAAAACACTGTCCTCTTGTTAAGATTTTTACAAGGCACAGATGTAATGTTAGCTTTTCCTTTCTGTATTATTTGTGTATTGCCTCTGTTTGACCAACAATTGCTCCCACTTGTTTCCATTCATTTTATAAATTTCACCCAGACTGTCTCCTGGTTTAAAACTATGGGGACTGACTCTTCCTGGCGGTAATGTGAATCAGCCTACAGGCTCTCCTTTTTATGTGGAATAGGATTGTATAAGTGCAAGGTTGTAGGACTGATGATCTACTAGGTGGTACCTAGCGAGAATCACTAATCTCAGTTCAGTCCAGTGAAGAGAATAAACATCCATCCCATCGTTTCTTTAAGAATTCAAACACTTAAATTTAGAATCATCCTAGTGTCATATTTAGGAGCAGATCCTCTCCACTAAAACTGTAAATGCAACAAAACCCTAGCCCTGAATAATCAGTCAGAGGAAAACAAAATAACAGAGGTAAGATTATGAAAGCTTGGTTCTTTATCTTCCCCACGGTATCTCATCAATCCGTTCAAAGGAGAATGCCCTTTACTTTCATCTATATTAAACTCTAACATAAAGCCATTCAATCTTGCAAGCCATCTCTTCAGTCTCTAATAACTATGCAACTTAGTAAACAGGTGTTTCAATAGTTCACTCCAAATCTTAGTCTACTCCTTGGTTGGTTGTAAAGTTTATGAAAAGTCAACTATATATGATGTATCCTAGCTCATTGGTGGGGTCTACCTACTGTGAAATGGGTTTTTCACTCTGATAATATAGTGGTTGAACATTTAAAACAATGCTTCTTTTCTGTGGTCTAGATCTAATACTGTTAGAAGCGTTTGTATCAGTTACTAAATGTGTAATTAGAAATTCAGAAAGAGCATTAATTTTGGTCTAGACCAATGAATATCCACGTGGGCTGAGCATATCTGGCCCATACCATCTCTTTCTTCACTCCAGATCAGCTTTGATACCCCAAGGTCTTGTAGTTTCTGAGGTTCCTGTTGAACAAATGACACATTTATCGATCACAGTTTGAATTTCTGAATTCAATGGGATGTATCTTTTTATCAGCCATTTTTCCTATGACTAAATGGCTCTAAGACCACATCTATCTTTTCAGATATAGTCTCATTATGAAGTCTATGTGTATACATATGCAAGTTTATATGCACACATAATTATATAGAACTTCAATTCTTCATATCCAAAACTTTACATCCTTATATATTCATAACATACTGCACTATACTGGGATTCTTATTTTTTTTTTCTTTTCTTTTCCTTTTAGAATTTTTTCCAGAGGACACATGTGCTCACTAGAGAAAGACAGAGGCAGAGGGGGGAGATGAGAATGTACCCCCCCATGGCCAACAGTCACTCTGCAGTCTCTTCTCCAGTTCTGCCTCCTGGGATTTGGAGCACACATATGCACACATCCACTATGTTTCTCAAGCTGCCAGGTCAGGCACTTGAAGTGCATTGGTCACATGAGAATCAGCCACTGGAAAAAACACATCAGGGGCTGGCACTAGAATTCCTTTTAGCTTATAATTATTTGACCTTTATTTTTAAAAATTCTATTTATTGGGTCAGCTCATGATGTAGTGATTGTATCCCACATGGCTAGCTGCATGGATTGAGTCCCAGACCCCATAGCTTGGGAAACATGCTGGCCCACTGTGTGGGTGGCCAGAGTCCTAAGGGGAGACAGAAATGGAGGGGAAGGATTTGCAGCATGACCATTCTCCATGGCGGGAGGGGATGCATTTTAACTTTCCCTCCCTCTTCTTCTGTTTCCTTTTCTCTCTGTCTCTAGCTATTGCACATGAACTCTGACAACATTTTTTAAAAATAATAATAATTTTAAAATTATATTTATTCATATCTTCCCAGTGAGACAGAGACAGAGGCACATATGCAGAGACTGCAGAGAAAGCATCCCCACCAGGATCCTCACGTTGCCACGCACCACTAGTTTCAGCTAGCACAGGAGCACGGACACGTGTTGCACAGGTATAACAAGAAGGTTCTCACTGTGAACCTGGCACCTCCTCATGTGGGTCAGTCTTGCAGAGCATGCATTTTACTGCTGCATCACTGACCCTGAAGTTCACTTTCTGAACCACATAGCCCATCCAATGGGTGACCACCTACAGACACGTATAAAACTCTACTTTTGTTATCACCATCCTATTCTTCTGATGCTATGAATGTTATTCACCGCTCTTAATTTCACTTACTTAGTAGACTTACTGTTATCTCTTGATTTAACTTCCAGTCACCAACAAACACAATGCAGCTGCAATTTATGATGAATATTCTGCTGGGCACTACCTGTAAAGAAAAATGTGTTTGATCTTCACTGTTTTCTGTTAAGAGATCTTATGTAGATGCTCATTCTCTGAGAGTAGGTAACTCCTCAGGTAGATCTAAGAGAGGACCCAAAGGTAATGGCAGCCACCCATTCATAAATGAGATGGGCACTGAGGCATTGTATTCTTAAATGCATAATTTCGAACCCTGTTAAGTGTTTTTTTCACTATTGGAATGTTTTTCTGACATAACCCATAACATACAAGTCATTCCATTTCTCAAAATAGTTTTATATCCTTCTGTAACAGAAACAGTTTTAGTTAAAGCCCAATAGCAGATCAAAAATTATTTTTCAAAGACAATTTATATGGAAAGAGCTTCTGGCAACTTTCTACTCCAAGATCACAGTAGTTATCGACTGGCAGCACATGTGAGCTTTTGCCAAAAGCTCTGCACAGCCTAAGTGCAAGTGGTTGACACCTGTAATACAGGAGCTCCTGGGAAGTACCACCCCCCAGGAATGCTGGGTTAAGCTATTAGACTGAGCACTTTTAAACTCTAAGATTGTCTTCCGTTGTACACAACACTCTTAAAATTCAGTTTTGTCTATGTGCCTTTGTAACTAGGGATTAGTGATATTATCACATATGAAAAATGATTCTCCAGAAATCGACAACCTAATCAATCTTCTTTTTTTTATTTTCATTTTACAGATATCAAGGAAAATATCTTAT